AAAGAAACCAAAGACCTATCCGGAAGCACTAAAACTATAGAAATCATATACTAAAACATAGAGGGAAATCTCCATGACTGTAGATTTGTAACAGATTCTGAAAGTAGATTAGTGGTTGCCCAGAGGGAGAAGAATGGAATGGGGTTTCACAGTAAATAGGTGTGCGGGATCTTACTGGGGGATGAAATGTTCTAAAGCTAACTTACAGTAATGGTTGCACCACTTAGTAAAATTACTAACAATCACTAAATTGTATACTTGAAATGAGTGGGTTTTATGATATGTAAAATAACCTCAATAAAAGTATATAGCATTTATAAAGTATATAGTATACTATATACTTTAAAAGTATATAGCATTTAGGAGCTTCCCAAGTTGCATAATGGTAAAAAATCCACCTGCCAGTGCAGGTGACATAGGAGATGTGGGTTCAGTCCCTGGGTCGGAAAGATCCTCTGGAGGAGGAAATGGCAACCCACTCCAGTATTCTTGCCTGGAGAATCCCATGGACAGAGGAGCCTGGTGGACTACAGTCCACTGGGTCGCAAAGAGTCAAACACAACTGAGCGACTGAGCACACAGATAGCATTTAAACAGCACCTGATACTTAATAAGTATTCCCTGCTTCTACACTCATCTTCATTTAATGGAAGCAGAAACCCGTTGACGTAAACAAAGTAAGGCCAATCTCCAAATAAAGGATGACCCACGACTTGCCGTGTGAGGTGAGGAGTCTGCGTCATCAGAAGTTTTGAACCACTTTGGCAGCCTCACCCTCCAGGACATTTCTCAAATCACATCCCGGGCAGCCCTACTGAAGTTGGTCAGACTACTGAAGGGGCAGTCAAGGAAAGTCTCTCCCTCTGAACAGAAGAAAGCTTGTCTGAAGAGGGCCTGGATGCGCCCACTGGGTCTCTGGGCACAGCCCCATGATGGGTAAATTTAGCCCTATCCAAGGGAGTCTGTGCAACAGAACTGCACCCAGTGAAAGAAATCGCCTCTGCTCGGGAGGGTGAGGAACAGGGGCCCTACAGCCACCTGTGGGGGACAGACATGGACTCCTGCTAGGTGGGAGGGGCCACCAGAAGAGGAACCACTGATTCTAGATGCTCTGTTTCTGTTTTTTCCTTTCCTACAGGTCTCCTGGTCTCCACACCTAGGACAATTGGTGGGGCACAAACGCAATGGCCGCAGTCTCTACCTGAGCATGCCAGTATTTTACTTTGTCTTTGGGGAGGGGCTGCATTCATCAACATCTCTTTTCTGATGATCCTCTTGAGAGCATGCGTGCTAAGTCACTTCAGTCCTGTCTGACTCTTTGCGACCCCATGAACTGTAGCCCATCAGGCTCCTCTGTCTGTGGGATTCTCCAGGCAAGAATACTGGAATGGGTTGCCATGCCCTTCTCCAGAGGATCTTCCCGATCCAGGGATTGAACCTGCATCTCCTGCAACTCCTGCATTGCAGGTGGATTCTTTACCGCTGAGCCGCCAGGGAAGCCCGATGATCCTCTTAGATGGAGCCAAAAGAAAGACTGTATTTTACAATAAGCAAAGTCTCTCAAACCTCCAATAGCTGAATAAAGAGGAGGGACAGACCGACCCCCTACTGGACGAGAAAAATCAAGAAGGGAGGCAGTGGATGTGACTCTTGCCCAAGCAAACACACCCAGCAGACAGCGGCTCCAGGAGCGGTAGGTAGGGATCAGCCGGCCCAACAGTGCCAGAGGAGAGGTGTGACAGTTGGCAGCAGCTGAAAACCATAAAGGTTTCCCCTGTCTGGCAGGGGGCGCCTGCTGCAGGTGCTGAGTCCCCAGCTTTGCACTCCAGCTCCCCCAACAGCCCGACGCCCGAAGAGCCAGCCTGACCGAGGTGCCGGGCTCCGCATCCTGGCGTGCGGTGGTCAAGCGCCACTCTCACCTACAAGTTCCCAGGAGTGCCCAAATTCAGGTGCGCACCGGGGCGCCGAAGGGAGTGTACGCGCCGGGATGCTCCATTGGCTGTCCACTTTGATGGGCGGTTTAATCATTACGGATCAGGATCAAGTTTTGCAAACCCGAGCTTTGAGGCAATCGCAGGCTCCGGAAGAATCTGAGTGGGGCTCGCGCGGCAGCAGGCGAGGAGCCGCAAGACCAGCTGGGCGGCGGGCAGCGCGCGCCTGGGTAGCGTGTGGGCAGTACGTGACTGGCGTGGAGCTCCCGAATCAGGCACCGCGTGGAGACTCCGCCAGTGCAGCGCCCGCCGCCTCGCTCTCTTCCTGTCCGGCAGGGCTGTCCCCCTCCACACTCACCTCTGGGGGGTCCCTCCATCCCTCCCGCCCGGGGCTGCGCTCACCTCCGATCCAGCCCGCGACAAAGTCTTCCAGTTGGAAGTTGACCATGGCCCCAGCCGCGGCGCCTCGCTTTCCCGGAGCTGGGTCAGTGCCCATTCAGTGTATTCTGGACAGGGCCTGCGGGCAAGCGCGCCAGATGGGTGAAGTCAGGGACGCGGATTCCCTGCAGGTCCTCCTCCACATCGGGCTGCCCCACTCCCCGCTCGGGGTGTCCGGCGGCTGATATCACGCCCCCAGTGGACCTTAAAGGCACAGAGCGCGGGCTGGCGAGGGAGTATCCACCTGCAGTTATTCACATCTCTGAGACACTGGAAATGATTTCAGGGACATTTTTCAAATGACAAGAGGTAAAGAGGAAGGAAAGTGGGGAAGTCTTTGATTACAAACACCAAGGTCACTCTGTGACTGAATTATTTAGCTGGATGGACACATCTTCTTTTCAGCTAAAACAGAGCTGGAATAATTGTAATTGAATGCCTAACCATCAGGGCTTCCCTGGTGGCTCAGTGGTCAATAATCTGCCTGCAATGCAGGAGTCACAGGAGAGACAGGTTCGATCCCTGGGTCGGGAAGATCCCCTGCAGAAGGGAATGGCAACCCACTCCAGTACTCTTGCCTGGAGAATCCCATGGACAGAGGAGCCTGGTAGGCTACAGTCCATGGGGTCACAGAGTCGGACATGACTGAAGCAACTTGGCATGCACACACATCCAACTATCATCCAAATCAGAAGTTCTCAATTCTTTGAGCTGATTGAAAGCCATGGACAGCTTTGCAATAAAATACAAAAGACAGACAATTATCCATAACAACTTTAGCAGTCAGGGGCTCTTCACCCCACGTTCCACATCTTTCACAAGCCCCCAGGTTTCAAAATCCGGTCTATTCCTGAATCACTGAAATAATGTATGGAAAATACCTAGCCCAGGTGGGCTCCAAATCATCTCTAAATACTGTATTAATAATGTCCAACATGTCCTGAGCACTGAAATCAGGCATCTTCACTGTACCTGGACTTACTCCTACAGCAGCCCTATGAAATGAGTGTTACCACTATCCCTGTTCCTAGGAAAATGATTGTATGTCATATAAATTTTACATAGATTTTAATATTTTAGAAAACCGGTCAAATTAGGAGATGAAAGTTGTCACATCTGAGTTACAGGTTTAGCGGTGCGTGGACAGATTTGAGCTTATTCCCAAAGACCTGGCTGCCACAGTGGACCCAGGGGAGACCCCACCAGATCTGAAGGTCTGGCAGCACCCCTGGCTGAGGGCACAGAGTCCCCTGCTGAGAGCACCTGGGCCAGGTAGGAATTTCTAGCGCCCTGGAAACTCTTAGCCTGTCCCTGGCCAGGCCTTCAGGAGGGGTGAGGCTAGCCTGGAAGTTTCCTCTGATTGCTCCCTAGACATGAGGTCTGCATGGCCAGGTAGCAAGCACACAGTGCCTCTGGAAGTGTGAACCTCGCAGGTCCCAGAAGCTACTGATGCCTCACCCCCAAGGCCGTTTGGACCAGCCCCCACCCCCAGCAGACAAGCAGGCCCAAACCCAGCTCAGCTACCTTGACTGAGACACTTCCTACCAGCCCTAAATGCATACCCCTTTATCTCTACCCACACGCTCCAGACAAGCCCATGAAGCCAGTGCTGCCTTGCCCTGAAGACATGTTCAAGTCAGAGTCTGGGCACAGCCTTACTCTCTCCTCACAGTAGCTGGGAGTAGGCACTGGTGTCACCCCAGCAATAGTCACTCTTATGTGTCCACCTGGCTGGTGACAGTACCCAGTGATTTAATCAAACACTAATCTAAGTGTGGCTGTGAAGCGAATTTGTGGATGTGGCGACCAACTGATTTTAACTCAGGGAGTTTATCCTTGATAAATGAGCAAACTTCATCCAATCAGCTGAAAGGCTTTAAAGCAACATGGAGGTTTCCCTGAGGAAGAAATTCCACATGGGAGATGAGTGGTTCCAGCCTCCCAGACTGCCCTCCAGATTTCACATTGCCCAGCCAGACCCTACCATTAGGTCACAAAGAATCTCCTGCTGGTTCTACTGTGTACACCTGTAAAACAGAGACAGGGTGGCTCATAGAGGGCATAGGAAAGTTTAAAGGGACCCTGTCTGGTCAGGGGGTCTCATGACCCCAGAGCTGTGAGCTGGGGAGGCATTCTAGGAACAACCCAACAGATTGCTCTTGACCTTTTCCCACACATTTCTCATCCCTCCCACCTTCCTGTCCAGCCCCTTGCCTTGAAATGGCAGCAGGGTGCTCATGTCTCCCTGGGCCTCTGCTAAGCCCCATCAGCCATGGGCTCTCTCTTCCCTGTCCATCCTCAAGCAGGGATGCTTACTGTCATCCCAGCCGTGTCCCACTAGGTGCCCTGGGCCCGGAGACAGCAGGACCTGGATGGCCAAGGTCATGTCAAACTCTGCGGGGACCCAGCTCCCTCCAGGCTTAGGCTCAGCCTGCACTGTCCAGTCTGAAAGGCGGGTGGAGGGGGGTGTCAGTCATCTCTCTCTCAATCCCACTCTGGAGGCAGGTCCTGCACCCAGGAGCCAGGCCCCAGCTGGAGGTACATGCTTAATAGAAACATGATCTGGCTATGTGGAGTGAGAGCTCCCTGGAGCCCCCAGTGTCCTGCTAGTTCCCAGCAGGGCACCTGGCCTTAGCACCCGAGGTTGCAGGAAATGGCAAGGGGTAAGGTCTCAGGGAGGGCCTCTGCTGGGCCTGCCCTTCTCCCCCACACACGGCTATGTCACATCATCCAGGCCATCATAGCACGACAGCTTCCCAGGGCTCCTTCCTCCAAAGCAAGACAGTCTGCCACTGACCTTGATCCTAAAAGCTGTGACAAGTGAGAGCTACCAGTAGCAACCAACCAAACTGTGCCCTGCCATGCCTGGGACACGTGCCACGACAGTTATGAGAAATCACAGGTCTCCAAAGAGTGAGTGTTTTGTGAAATCACCTTGGAGCCTGTCCACAGGTGGCAAGCCTGCCAGTTCCCCCAAGCCCACTCTTTTGGAGGACCACCCAGCAGGTGCCGGGGGAGGGTGTGCTGTCATTCCCTCGGTCCCTCAGTTTGGCACCAAACGGGAAGGTCCTGAGTTGGCAGGCAGAGACCCCGGAGCCCTGGGACAGCCTCCTGAGCCCAGAAAGCAGCTGCTTGAACTGCTAATGAGCTGCAGCAGTGCCAAGGGTGTGAGCTCCTTTCCAGATGGAAGCTCTGTGCTCCATCCCCAAATGTGGGCCACAGATCTGCCCAGGAGGCTCACCACAGAGGGAGGTGGGGAGGACCTGGTTCTCGTGGCAGCTGGAGGCCAGCCAGAGAACCCTAGACCCGGCAGGACCCTGAGTCTAGGGAGGGCTCTGGGCTGCTGCTTGGTCCTGGAACCCCTACAATCAAGCAGTGTTTGTGGTGCTGCCGTCCACACTGCATCCCACCCTTGGGAGAGAGCAGGTAAAGCCACGGAGGCAAAGAGCTGTCAACTCCCTGGGGTGCTGGGGCCAGAAAGACCCCCCAGTGCATTTCTTCCTCCACTCCTTCCCCAAAGGTAACCCCCAGAACAGCTTCCACGCAGCGGCAGAGAGGATATGCATGTGGGCGGTGCTCTGACAATCAGCGGTGCACATCCCGGCTCTCACTTGTCCTTTCTGGTCGGCATCAGTCTCTGCTCTCAGGGAGGGGATCATTTGTCTGAGGTACCACTGGGGGCAACTGTGAGAACACTGGTCGAGCTCTGTGCCAGGTAGAAAGGCTGGGAGCCTCCTGGTTGCACTGAGTCTCTCCAGCCTCGGTTCTCTACGTCCTCAACACTCCAGGCCAAGCCCAGATCCCCTGCCTGCGCCCACCCACCACACCTGGGCCAGCTCCTGCTCCTGCCTGACGCCCCGTGGCAAAGACCCTGCTCTCTCTCTATCCCCAGAGCTCATCCCCTGCTCCTCTTTCCATTTGGGGACCCTCAGGGCCCTCATCTGTCTTGTCTCCCACCTCTTTCCTACACTCAGCACCTCTGCTCAGACGGCTCTGCTCCCCTCTGTTGAGGGACCTTCAACAACTCCCCACAGCCATGGGCGTGGCTGTCTTTCTTCTTTGGGTGTTTGTACCTCCTGCATCACTCTGTGCCAGCCTCGGATAATGGGAATTCTGGGGTCCCTTCCCTGAGTCTGGTTCTGGTGCCTGATTTTCAAGGTGCTACTGAAGTTCTTTGCTTGGGGCAAGATTCCTTACTTTACTTACAGTTCTCTGAGAAAGTCTATTCAGAGCCATGTTTCGACTGTATTTGGGTCTAGGGTTCATTCAATGTGATGCTCCAAGTCAAAAAAATACAGGTGATTGACTGTGAAGTGAGGGATCAAAGATCTTTCAGGAGGCTTGGCTGCCTGGGCTCTGCTTCTGGTGCTGCTGCTCACTGGGGGCACCTTGGGCAGGTCCAGGCCTCAATTCCCCCTCTGCCTTTTGTAGCAAAGTAGAAGTCTGAAATTCTGGACCACGAAGATGCCAGCTGTGATGCCTTAAGACATGCCAGCAGAGGGCGCTGCTGCACAGCATTTGGGACTCTCAAGAGGAAGGGCTTACCTGCAGCAAGGGAAGGAAGTTCCTAGCCCACTTTCCCTGGTGCTAGGCTGGCAGTCAAAGCCAGTATACACCTGGGCACTGAAACAGCTGCTGACACGGAGGCTCAGGAGGAGTCTGAGGGTGCCAGAGTGGACCAGGGGCCTGATGAGGACTTGCCTGGTGATCCAGGGGCTAAGACTCCACTCTCTCAATTCAGGGGGTCCAGGTTTGATCCCTGGTCAGGGAACTAGATCCCACACACTGCAACTAAGGGTCTTGCATGCTGCAACCAAGATCAAAGATCCTGTGTGTTGCAACTATGACCTGGCGCAACTAAGTAATTAAATAAATATTTAAATGTAAAAAACGGAATTTGAGACCAGATTTAAGACCCCACACCTTGAAGAAAGAGTCTGGGTAACAAAACTCAGCTCTGAACCCACCCAAACCCACAACTCTCTGCTCCAGGGTGAGTGTGAACATGGCAAAGAGCTCTTCCTGCTTTTAAGAGAGGGGAAATGTGAAGGACTCCCAGGACATCTCATTCTTGATGTGACTACAAAGAAAAAGACTTCAAAGAACAAAATCTCAAAACCATGTGGATTCGATTTTCTCCAAAATAGAGACCTCCTAAGCGACAAAAGCTTTGCCAAGGGAGAAGGCTGAAGAGAACCAGCCTTAAATGAGGTTCAAGTTCATTTGCAGGGGAGTGGGCAGAAGGGAAGTTGCCTGCTGCCCCACAGTTACATGGTTCTGCTGAAGCCAGGTCTCCAGGAAAAGCAGGCAAGTTCCAGCCCTCTCTCCACTGCAGGAACACTGCCTAAGGGGACCCCCACCTTCTCCCTCCTGCCTGCCATCCAGGTGCCTCATAATGACCACTCCTCCCCTAACTTTAGACACATAAAATCACACTGGGCCCCTTTTTTGCCTTGTTGATGCTTTATCCAACGATTAACCTCTGAGTACCTACCAGAAACCCTGATGCTGGGAAAGGCTGAAGGCAGGAGAAGGGGATGACAGAGGATGAAATGGTTGGATGGCATCACGGACTCAATGGACATGAGTTTGAGCAAGCTCTGGGAGTTGGTGAAGGACAGGGAAGCCTGGCACGCTGCAGTCTATGGAGTCACAAAGAGTCGGACACAACTGAGTGACTGAACTGAACTGAACCTACCAGAAACTAGGCATAATCTGGGGACTGGGGATACAACCGTTATATTAGCACATTCCTCCCAAGTGTAGAGTTAAGGCTACTTCCCTCTGACTCTCCTACCCTAACTCAAGAGCCTGCTCCGGTGAATGAGCCCTTTCTCCCCATGAACCCCCAGAATGTGGCACTATATCTTATGGTATCCAGTCTCCAAGATGGCGCCCAATGCTTCTGACCACTCACACCCTTGTGAGTTCTCTTTGCACACTGACTTAGAGCTCACCTGTGTGGCCAGCAGAGTGTGGCAGAGGTGACACTATGTGACTTCTAAGGCTCAGCTGTCATAGGCAATCCAGCGTCTGTCTCTGGGATCGATCGCTCTGGGGAAGCCAGTCACCATGTTGTGAGGCTGCTCCAGTAGCCTTGTGGAAAGGCCCACACGGTGAGGAGCGGAGGCCTCCTGCCAACAACCAGCACAGATCTGCCGACGATGTGAGGCAGGAAGCCGATCCTCCAGTCCATAGTCAAGCCTTCAAGCGACTGCAGCCCTGGTCAACATCTTACCTGCAGCTTCATGAGAGATCCCACGCTCAATCACCCAGCCAAGCTGCTCCCAGATTCCTGAACCTTGATGGTGGGAGAAAATACGTGTTTATTGTTATGTTAAGCTACTGAAAATGTTAGTGGCTCAGTGGTGCCTGACTCTTTGCTACCCCATGGACTATAGCCAGCCAGCCGTGCTCCTCTTTTATGGAATTAATAATGGAGTGGGTAGCCATTTCCTTCTCCAGGAGATCTTCCCCACCCAGGGATCAAACCTGGGTCTCCGGCATTGCAGGCAGATTCTTTACCATCTGAGCCACCAGGGAAGCCCACTGAGCAACTAACAAACATATAACATAAACATAACTAAGCTTTGAGATAATATGTTACGTGTACTGTGCTTAGTCGCTCAGTCATGTCTGACTCTTTGCAACCCCATGGACCGTAGCCCACCAGGCTGCTCTCTCCATGGGGATTCTCCAGGCAAGATTACTGGAGTGGGTTGCTGTGCCCTCCTCCAGCGGATCTTCCTGACCCAGGGATGGAACCCAGGTCTCCCACATTGCAAGTGGATTCTTTACCATCTGAGCCACTAGGGAAGCCCAGTATATCACATGGAAATAGGTGTTGATTTTGAGTTCCGTAGAACTTCAGTTACGTACTGTTAGCAGCCCCATTTGACAGAGGAGGATGTCCAGGTACAGAGGGATTATATGGCCAGCCAAAGAATGCAGAGCTGGAAAGCATTAGAGCCAGGATCTAAACACTACCTAGCTCTGGAGTCCACGCTCATAACTATTGTGCTTGCATTAAATGTCTGTGCTCAGTCACCAGTCGTGTCCAATTATTTGCCATCCTGTGGACTGTAGATTTCCAGCTCTGTATTCTTTGGTTGGCCATTTAATCCCCCGTGCCTGGACCTCCTTCTCTGTAAAATGGGGCTGCTAACAGTACCTAGTTGAAGCGGTACCAAACTCAAAATCAACATGTTATGTGACGTACAGTGCTCGGCACTGTGGTTGGCACACAGTAAACGCTCATCGTAAGTTACCTCTCAGCCTTGTTCAAGCCTCTGTGTTCTCACAAGTGTTCATGCCTGTGTTGACCCAGAGTAGCTCCGGGCTGGTGCTAGCTGGATGGATGAGAAGCAACCTGCTCTTGAAGATAATCCCTCCCACCCAGGACCTCTCTGCCCAAGATCCTTCCTACAAACCACTCCCTCAAGAGAGCTCCCAGTCTTGAAAAGCTCCAGGGTCTGTTCAGCCCCATGAGCAAGTGAGGTCCTTGCCTGCTTGCTCAGGAGATAATGGTTTTCGGCAGCAGGGCTCCCAGCCCAACATGCGCTCTACGAGCCCCATACACAGGACCAGGGAGTCATCCCCAGGAACCAGCTCAGAAAGCATAGAAGAGGGTGGCTCTGGTTTCTAACACATACCCAGACACACCTCCTGTTTGAGGGCATTAAGGGCTCAAGGATGCCAGCCAGCACAGACTAACCCAGACCCAGCTCTGAGGAACACACAAGGGATCAGGCCAATCCCCTCACACCAAGCCAAGGAGTCTTCTAGCAAGGCCACTAGATTTCATCCATCACACTCCCAACCCCAAGTCTCCCAGCCCAAAGGGAAATCATAGGAAAAAACAAAAATGAAACTTTTTTTTTTTACAAGAAATTCTTGCATGTACCTGAAGTATGAATGACTGCTTTCTTTCCCGTCCTCCTCAACTTCCTCATCATCAGGAAGAGTGGGGAGCAGGAGCAGGCATCCCCCTGGTCAGGAACAGAAATCAGCGACCGGGGTGTATGGGTCAGAAGAGGCGGGCAGGGAACCAGCACCGCGGGACAGAGTGGCTGTGAACGTGGGACATGACGGGTATGACTGGACAGTTTCAAACAGAGGCCAACGTCCACGTGCAGAGTCCCGGGAGTACCACACTGCCCTCATCCACCTGCTTCAGCCTCAGGGCCCTCTGCTGTGGTACACAGGGTGAACCTGGAGTTGGGGTACCAGACAACATGTCCATGGGGTCCAAGTAGGCAGGGGCTCGGCAGACATATGCTGCTCCAAGGAGCAAGGAGCTGGAGAAGGAAAGGCAAAGGGACGGGGGTGGGGGGGTGG